GACTGGGAGGAGATACTGGATATCTTGGCTCCTGGCCATCTTTTAATCCCTTTCCGCTAGAGACATGACTAAAACAATCTGTTCTGCTCTGAGACCATTTCTCAGCTTTCCCTTGGATCCGCCCTCCCCCCAAGTCTGGTCCCCAAGGGTTGAGAGCCTGGAAGCTTAGGTCACTTGTTTATGTGTTCATCTTCTCTCTACTGGTGGCTATAAACCTCCTGGTTCTGAAGGGTCAGCAGTACTCAGATCTAGGAAGGTAGTTACTTCCCTAACTTCCTTTGTGCCTGCAATTCTGCCATCGGAGACACATCTATCTGACCATGGCCCTGATCTCCTCAAGCAATTAAGTTTATCAATCACTCATACACATTCACGTGATTGACTTTTCCTAAACTGTTTTCCAGAAGATCTGATCTGTGGGTAACCATCCCACTGGCTGAAGCTTTATCAAAGCGCAGGTTAGGAGAGGACTGCTCTCTGTATCTCGGACTCTTGATGGCCTGGTATTCACAAAGCCTGCATCCACCCGGGGGGGTGGATGTGGAGGGAGAAAGGCTGCCCTTTCCCGATCCCCCCTCCCACCCACTGTACTTGCCTCCTATGATCTTGGTTGTCTGGGAGAAGGTCTGCATGTGGGTGGTGGAGCTGGAGAACTCCATGGACACGTGCTCCTGCAGCATCTGCTGGTGGTGAATGGTCGTCATGGTGACAGCAGGCGTGGGCACTCACCTGGGAGGACCAGGGAGAGGATGAGGCCATGAAGGACAAGGAAGGGAATAGGAAAGAGATCCAAATAGGTTATTCTGCATGTGTGTGTGTGTGTAAAGGGACAGGGCAGCTGGACAAAGGGGAGATGGCTGTGCACAGGGGAGGGTGAGGGGAAGTAGGGCAGGAAGCCTCTTCTCTCTGGCCTTGCTTTTCTTCCCTTCATATCTCATCTTCCCAGGATGGTTACGAGGACCCGTGGGCCTGTCATCCCCACCAAGTAATCCCAAACCATTCCAGATCTCAGGGGGAGAGAATGTGGGGCTTAGATTTACCCAGGGAACCAAGTGAGGCCCTGGGGAGGAGCGAGGGTACATACTGATAGCTACATGGAACTAGGGAGGTGGTACTAGATATTTCAGCAGGAGGGAATGAAGTCAGACCTAAGAAGGAACTTCCTGACTAAGCCATACTTCAGTGGGCCTTGGAAGGAAGCCGGGATTTTCCTCCTGAGCCCTGGGGCATTGGTGGAATGCTAAGACAGATGATAGCATGTGTCTACAGCTCTGCTTCCATTTGTGACTGGGTAAAGACAGGTTAAGTTTTCATTTCTCACACTTCTTAAAAACAATCAGTAATTCAATCTCATAGTTAATAAAACAAGAGAAGCGTCTCTTCGAAGAGGCCCCCTCCCACTCCTGAGCCCCCAACTCCCAACCCTCCCCCAACATGTAACCCCTGTGGTCTCTCAGCTCCTGGAGTTCCTTCAGCCCCTTTTTGCACTTCGGGGAGCCCTACTATATACACTCTTCAGCCCTTCCTTTTTCGTGTACTACATCTTGGAGATCTCTCCTTGCCAGTTCATAAAGACTTTCCTCATTCTTGCTAACAGCTACACAGTATTTCAACGGATGGGTCAGCATGGCAGTTTTTCCATATGAGGAAACAGATGTCTGAGAGAAATCACCTGTTCAAGGTCATTCAGGCCAGAATCCTGGCCTCTTGACTCCCAGTCCAGTGCCCTTGCAAGGGACCCAAGAGCCTGGTTCTGAGCCAATTGGAGGCTAAACTCTCATCTCCCGGCCATGGCATATCTCTGCCTGGCCTACTTCCACCTCTGAGGTCTGGAACTGTCACCAGCTAGACCCCAAGAACTGACCTTTACTCCTCACCTGCTTGTGCCCACCAAAACTCTGTCCCACATTTTTCCTTAAGCTGCTTATCTCTTAGCTCAAGCAAAAGACCCGAGGGGCCTAACATCCCGTGAAGGAAGTCGAAACCACCCCTCAAGCAGTAACCATTGCAGAACAGGAGCTCGTCTGGGGCAGGGGGCCCAGACCAGCGTGAACTTAACCCCCAACTCACCCCTGTGCAGAGGGACCATGGAGGGACTGACAGTTGCCATTTACCTTGAATACTAAAATCTCAAGGAGGAGTCTCAGCCTCATTTACATGACATACAATGTATGTCTGAGCGTGTTTCCTTAAGGCGCATGCGTGATCTTATGCCCATGTCTACATGTGATGACAAGGCTCCCCTATTTAAATATTCATCCAAAAAAACCCCCAAAAAACTATAGTAGTGTTTTAAAAGTTAAATGAGGAATAAACTCAAATATTAAAAAAAAAAAATTCATCCTAACCCTCCATAAAAGAAACCCACTTGCCCTTGGTCAGGGAGTCACGGCTTTGGAAGTTATTCCTCGTGATCTTATTTGCTGGAAATCACGTTTCCATTGTGCGACAACTCACCTGGTGTAGTTTCTACCTGGGACTCGAGTTAGTTAGGTTACTCTGGCCGTCCTGCTCTGGGCTCCGAAGGTGGTAGGCTCTGACCCTTCTTGAGGAAAGAGGGAAGTTTTACCTTTGTGTGACCAGTTCCTCCTAACCCTTGAATGCTGTGTCCACGTCTTCAGGGGTGAAGCCGTGCCTGGGCTATTGGCGGGCTGGTCTCCTCCTCCTTTTGCCCCAACAGTGGAGCCACCAGGAGTCACGGGTTCCTTATATGTCTGGCCTCTTGGGGGCGATCCCTTACTGAGGCTCCACAGCTGTCCCAGCTAGACTGGCACGCTGCTTTGTGGGGAGGGGAGTGGAGGAAGGGAGGCTGGAGCCAAGGCGGGAGGAAATGCTGGGGTCCAGGCGTGTGGGCGGGAGTCCAAGGGTGGTGGTCCAGGTTACTTTTCCTGTTCCCTTTTGGCTGAGGTTTTGGTTCTCACTGCTGGTGAGTGGGTCCTCTCTGAGCCGAGGGACTCAGGGTAGAGTGTGTGTGTGTGTGTGTGTGTGTGCGCATGCACGCACGCGTATACACACATGTACATGTGCCCACAGGCCAGTGGGGCCGAGGTCAAGGAAGTTGGCTATTTTGCAGAAGTCCTGGGGTGACTAGGTTCTCCTTGTACTCTGTGACTGGTGCCTGCATAGCCTGAGTGGCCTCCCAGGGCCACCTTGGGGGAGGAGATAGCACTGTTAGCTCCCCTCCCCCACTCCCACTCCTACAGCTCAATCCTCAACTGGGTGGACCGTAGGAGGCTGTTCAAGTCTTTCCCTGTTGTTTCCTCATTGTCTGTAGTAGAGCTGGGTGCTTGGACCCTCGATCAACAAACACAAAATTCTGATACCTCCTAAAGACCCACTGGTTGGTCAGCAGCCCGTCCCCTGGAGTGACCCCGCCCCCCGCAGCAACCCCATCAGAGCTACTTTTGCTGCCTCCCTGAGGGCAGGAGTAAGAATAGAGCAGGAGTGTCCGGGATGGCTCAGGACCCGAGCCTTGGGGCAGAGTCTCTGGGCCCCTCGGGAAAGGATACGCTCAGCCCAGGCCTTACAAGGGAAATTTCCAGGGTGCAGCTGCTGTTGGGACAAGTCAGGCTCACGGGATAAGTGGGTGGGCCAAAAGGGAGGGGCCTGGCTGTGACCTGACAGTCTCCACTCTAGCAGAAGTCTCTGCCAAACACTTTGCCTTCTCTGGAAGCCTCCCACACCTGTCCTTGAGGCTCCCCACGGTCCAGGGCTCCCGGATGCGTTGGTGAGGGGGGCGGGGGGAAGGTGTAGGAGAATCCTGCCAAAATCAAATGGATTTGGTCTATACTTCCAATCTTCACCAGGGGCACCAGGGAGCTTGAGAGAGAGGCGGTGGGGGGGGGGGG